ACCTGGATATGTGCAGGTATTAAATCAGAATGTGATCTCATGGCCTTTTCTTGCTTGAATTATCATGTCCCAATCACATGTTCAAGTCTGTAACAAAGAAGAAGAATATATATATATATATATATATATATATATATATATATATATATATATATATATATATATAATTAATTTCATCTTAAATATTGCTAACACAACGCATGGCCAGTCCCGTTAAATACCGCAATCCTCCGGTTCTCCGGATAAAGTGGAAATGTAATAGAAGTCTTGTGTTCCAGCCGCAAGTTTCCATCAAGTTACCTTAAACATGTCTTGCAAGATATCATCAAGAAAAACGTCAAAAATCGTCAAGAAGAAAGTGACATTCAGTAAAATCACTTGCACTTATCCACAAAAGAAGTGGGAGCGAGAGGCAAAGGATGGTCGGAAAACTATTCCGGAGTTTCCTTGCTGGTTCCTCGCATTCAAACGATGGACTAGAGTCACTAGACCAAGGTTTGTAGTACACACGACTGATTGATTACTGAGCTTGCTTGTGATATGGTCGAAAATAAATGGAGAAGTCTCGCCACTCGATATAATATATTATATGTCGGGCAGAGAGCGCTGGAGAATCTCCATCCATCCACATTGCTAGAAAGTCGAGCTGGTAAATGCCAAGATGGCGAGTCTCAGAAAATCTTCATCGAGAAAATCCAACCCACACCAAGACGCAAGGCCATGTTACTAGACGAAACGTACCACTTTCTTCCCCATACCTACGCAGCAGGCATCTGGACTTTGTTTCCCCTCACCACGGACATGACACCAAAAGTCAACACCCCAAGTATGAGTAGAAGGTTGACATATTGCTAGCCTTTGCTCTATCGTGATACGGTACGGTCGGAAGTTTCAGAATGAACCTCTGTATATCGTTTATGACTGGTTTGCCTAACATGATCCTGACGATATTTAACCCAGGATAAAGCATAGCGGTGATTCAGCTCTCCTCTTCCTTGTTGATATGTAGGATCGAGGAGTATACTCCATTCTATATTATGACAACTATTAACAAAGCAGCAGTTAACTTCAGCATTTTTATTACTAAGAAATGCACAGACACACGGTAACTTCCTTCTATCAACCATTTGTGAATCGGGAGTAAGTTGTCACAGCAGGAAGCAAATGAGAGTCTATTATTCCGGAGTTTATTGATTGGATGGTAATCTCGTGATCAGAAATTGATCTTCTGAATACTAAGCTTTAAAGGTTATACGATATCTTCAATTACAACCACATCAGTATGCATTTGAATGATAATTTCCGATTAAAAGTTAAGGCATAATCACAAGGATCATCCGAAGACTTCTTGTGAGCCAAAACCAAACAACAAAATGACATAAAAATGAAAGTAAATTATCGTCACCTTCACTTTGATCACTGCAAAGAAATGGAAGTAAGCACATCTTCTTGCAAGCATTATTCAGAAGAGGCCTAATGTTGCTGGAACTGGAATAATACAAAAGATAAAAATCATCTTTTCCGCATATGAAGGTTGACCAGGAACCTTCACATGTGAACTCTCATCGCTTTCCAAAATTCTCTTGTCGTAATCTTGTCGTAATCTTAAGGCTAGAGATCGCAAACTTTTCCAAACGATAAATTTTGCCAAAAAGATTGGACGCATATCACGCCTGAATAATGACGCTTTCCAGCCGAATCTTCAGTGTGCACTGGTCGGCCTCAATCTACATCACGCAGCCTCGTTGGAACGGTTGGTTTCTCCATGCTCTATTGATTTAATGAAAAGCAAGAGACGAGAATGGAGGTAAGTTTATTTGTTAGGCTGTTCGGGTTTCCGGAAAAGTTTCCATGAGAGTTTCGTCTGTTGGATTTTACACGTTATCTTACTCGTACAAGCAACTGAAAACACAAGTGTCGTTCTCACCTAAGTGTGCTGTGAGTGGAGTGTTCACTCATTTTTCATATCATATTGTATGCCTCTACGGTAGTGCTTGGACTGACATGTGTGCAAGTTTTTACCACATCATTGTCATATGTGAAGACACTACGTAAGTCAGACATGGTGTAAAAAACTGGATTAACCACGAATCTTTGGTGCCACATAGAAAGTTTAGGAATAATGGATGACACCTGTGAGAGCCCAGATTGGTCACACGTCAGAGAATTCATATGACCTGCCTACTGCTCACGCACGCACGCACGCACAAGAGGTTAGCGCAAGAAAAGCTCCTTTTGCCCTAAACATTAGATGTCATTTTCTCACCATCTGCACCCACTTGATAGTACAACCATAGCTTTCAAGGCAGTGGATTTTATTAGTACGAAGGGTTTATATTGCTAGTGAACACTTTGAAGCAAAGCGTATTGTTGATCTTCCTTGCTTTATGTACATTAACGTGAGTTGTTAAAAGTTGATGAATCCAAGTGCGAAAAGCATACGGGTTCGTAGAACTAGGATATGAGAATTGACGGACGGCAACGTTCAACGACGGGAAGAGGATTGCATAGCAGAAAAGGCTGCGCAATTATCATCTTATTTGTGAACTACATATAATTAACATATCAGTCAAAAGATAAGTTTCTTAATGTGAGATTTTTCAACTTCTTGGTGAGTATTATCGTCAGAGGCTGAAGATACAATCACAAAGCTCACCGCTGTACCAGACATCAGAACCGCCATTCTAACTCTTGAATCAGACAACATCACAAAGTGATCCAAACAAGTAAAAAGTGCTGGTGAAGAGCTCCAGCCGAAACGAGAATATATCGTCTGACTTACCCTGAAAAAACATCATTGGAGGAATTGGCCTCCTAGCAATGGAGTGTAAGCTGACAAATAGATCAGGAAAGTGAAAACTGGAGAGGAAGTGAACGAAACTCAGAGCTCTCAATCACTGAATACAACATGAATATAGATACATTCTGAGGAATCATTCATGACGCCTCTGTCTGCATGCTCCAGCAGCAAACCCTCCCAACGCGCACGATCCGATTAGTTGATGTACTTCATCGACATATATCCAAATCCTTTCGCTGTATTTTAAGAAAACAATTGTCTGTCTGCAATCACCCATAGTGTACAAGTTTTTTGAACAGGAAAGCGATGAGAAAGTGCAAGAAACACGCAGAGAAGTGCTCCAATTGCTCCCATTGAGATCCCTAATTACTTACAGTGGTCCTGTTCCTCCTCCACCGCATTCCGGTTCTTACAGAGGGAGTCAAGCAGTTTGACCGACCAGTCCAAGCTCAATACCACTCGAGCTCAAGTTGGAAATAACTCATGCCAACTCATAAAGATTACTGTCTGCCGGTGAGCACATTCGGAGTCGAAAGTTTCTTGATTCTGATTCCTTGTCGACGACAATCAAATTTTCTAACGAACAGAGAGCTTGAACTCTTCGATCGCTGTTCGTTCCTGAGGCAAATCCATATTCAAGTAATGGGCGATCAATGCTCTCCAGAGCAGGTCTCATGAAAACAGTGAACTTATAACTACTCCGAACGTAACCTTTCTGGACATTATGATTTCCTTCGCCGTTTCAAGAGCCAAAGCTTTCATTGCCATCACTGTTTACGAAAGTGGCTGAAACAGTTCGGGCCTCGAGGGAGCGAGTGAGATGCATACCGTGTCCATTTTTAAAAGGAAACCTTTGGTTTCTTGAGCTGGTGGTGGTGAGTAAAGAGGTACAATACCGACCCATGATGGCCACGTTCTCCTCTGCTCGCATGACTATTAATCGTCATCGTCGTAGTGAGGAATGTTTCCAGCACTCTCTCTCACAAAATTAGGCAACACGTCAGGAGTAAGTGAGCTTCGGTACAAGGGTTCTGGTGATGGACAGTCTATAATGTACTTGATCTTGCTAGTTTCAGAACGTATTGAGAATTACGGGGTGGTATTGCACCAAGTCTTGTAAAATTAGCCACGAGAGCACAAGCCCCTGAAACAGTGGAGCCAAGGTTTAGTGAGCTTACAGATCTAGCAGGAGGCAGACTTTGGATCTGCCTGCTGCTAGATCTGATCGAAATATGAAGATGGGTTCTATTAAATGCGCACGTAGCAAAAACCAGTTTTAATTATCACACTAACTGTATTCAATAAAAACTAAATGATGACCAGGGAACCGTGGAACGAGTAGTGATGTAAGGCTTGGACATTGCATAAGCTGAAGGGCTCCCTTCTTCATAACCGTGCCCACCGCTAAAAATCTATTTCAACCTTAATGAATTGGGAGGAGGAATCTTGTGCTGAGATTAAGAAGTAGTTTCTTGTATTATGTACTATTCCATGCCAGCTCGCAATTTTGGTTCATAAGTGAGCTGTTTTCTTCCTGATGTGAAGATGAGACTTTTGTGTTACCTTACAGAACTTGGTTGTGTGAATCAACACAACAGCAGTGTCTGAGAGTTCTCGACTTCTGGATGAGTCGATGATGGAATGAAATAGCCCAAATGAATGTCGCACCTAATGAGTAGTGTTCAACGAGTAGTGTGGTCATTTTTACAACATCATCAGAAGAATGTTAGCATCAATGCAGGCGGGGTATATGATCAGGATTGTGGATCACTTCTCGCAATTTGTCGATCTAAACATTGACTAATAAGGAGCAAGGAAGAACTTTAAATGATACAATGTTGGAGACAGAAGAGTGCTGAAACAGTATTCGAAGTGCTATGAACGTGGTACTGTATTCGGTTTATGTGCAGAAATGCCCTGACACGATTCCTCCCAAATCATCCTTTTAGAGTCCAGGAGTGGGATGGATTTGTTCCTTCTACAAGATATGGCAATTCAAGGATCGTGAATCAACACCTAGATGAAAGGAGACTACAGACAGGCGAAGAAAGTTTAATGCGATGCAGTTAGTTTAATGTCCCCGGGGAGGCAAAACAATGACGATACCAGAAGCGTTAAGTTCTAGCCTATTATGGGGAGGAAATTTTTTTAATTCTCATGAGAAGAATATGACCTTGAGAACCTTCAATTTGAGCATCAATTCAATTTAGTTTCCAGTCAAGTGTCAAGTAGTTGCATTGCTAACTTTGGGTCCCAATGACTTACGTACGTTAAACCTATTTTCCTCGATAAATCGTTATCTTCTGAATGATCAATAATTTTTTGTTGATATAGTTCTTGCCTAAGGGGGTAACAGAACAGACCTTGATCCATAAACTAAAGGAGACGCTAATCTCAGCTAACGTAAACCCTGAATCTCTATCTATCTACAAATACAGACCACAGGGGTTTTTTGAATCGTAGGCTTATGAGCTGAACCTGATCGCGTGCGCACAGAGTATTGCAAAAGATCGCTACCTCAAACGAAGACCTTTACTGGACACTCTGTCATCTTTGACTGCTTCTTCCTCTTTTGCATCTATCGTTCTGAATATAAGAGCGACAAAAGATAAAACACCTGTTTCACGACGTCGTCAGACCTGCAGACTTCAGCTGGCATGGTTCATGGCATTCTCCTCGGATCTGACAAGTTTTGACGCAGTTTCATAACATTCAGGAGACGACAGAATGCTTCAAGGCGGTTCTTGCTTGTCATCAAGATATTTTCCACCTTGGTTCTCATTCTTCCCTCTGCACTGAAAACCTTCACTCAGTACGTCAGAAATCAACCCGATGTGCGCAATTCTAAATAGCCTCCAAAATGTGCAAAAAAGCAGCAGCTACATCCTTATGTCAACGTCGAAATAGAAGAGGTGATCGTGTTCTGGAGACATGCGGGGTTGGATAATAAGTAAAGAAAAATGCATGAAAAACTTCAAAATCTTACGGAAGCAAGAAAAATTTACTCGGGTATGATAAGTTTTCGACCAAACTCGTGATTGTGACGAGATGAATGATCTCGCCTACGCAAACTAACACGTCAAACCAAATCAAACCACACGCCAAAAATATACTGACAATTACACTTTGCTAAGAGAGCCTCCGTAATGTTGTGTGTTCGCCAGCTAAGTGGGAAGGATGTCCTTATCAACCAGTCAGCACATTTCCTCGTTAGGGATAAAAACTGTCTATAAATTTCTCACAGAATTTATCGATAAAGCCGTGACTCAAATTGTGTGCTCATTGTATGGACTACAACAGGACGGGAAATAGAAAGACTCGAGCTATTTGCCCAAAAAAAATTTAACAGCTTAGCCATCTGCAGCTGACTAACGTCCTGATAACACACATGAATTATGTGGGCCATAGAGAAACTTAAATGCCAGCGATGACAGCGAGATGGCCAGTTTGGTTGCTTAGCAGCATAGTCTTAGAATTACAATTATAGCTCAGGTCGTCAGCCTACAATCTACTGGTGACGTGAAAGAGTTTATGGAGAGAGTGTAATATATGATAGAACTTCAAGAACTGTAATTCTATAGCAAAAATACCTCCTACGGGACAAATGAAGGACACATACCTTGGCTTCACGAAGTCAAGAATTCCACGAGTACCAGACCCCGGGAAAATAGAGCATTTGGTCCCTCGATCGTGCTCAAGGTTGGCAAGTCCGCTTATTGGGAAGCCATGAGTATTATATTCTGGGTCTAATGCCGAGTAAAATGGAAATTCCGAACAGCAAGATCAGAGGCAACTTGCCTCCCGGAACCAACTGCTTGTTTCTCGATAACACATCGGCCCTGTAAATTTATGGTATCATATTAGCTGCAGTGAGTGTTAAAGGGAACAGGACTCTAACGTTCCTTGAAGGAGGACTTCAAGAAAAAAAAATAAAGATTTTAAGAGTAGACACTACTATTATTCAATACAAATGGGAAGTTTTCATCAAATGAGTTCATATACATCAATGATAGACTCACGCAACATAGACTAAATTTGATAATTGTAACGACGTACTGATCGGACAGATGATAGCGGTATCTCCAGGCCATGACAGGAGGCAGGATCCCAAAGAGGAAGCAGTTGGCATAAACACCCGCAAAATCAAGTGCGGAAGCAAAGGCTGTAGGCCAGAGCACGGCGGCTATGGTGGGAGGGCAAAGAGACCACAAGAGTGGCTGAATTTCTGCAAACAACTTCTTTCCATCTTCTCCCTCCTTGCTCTCAAATTCTCGTCGAGCTCCTTGGCTGAAAATCCGACCTGTATCAGAAAGCTGTTTCGGGAAGCTGACAGCATAGCCGATCAGAGTAGTACCAAGAGCAGCAAAGGCGAAAGCTTGAACTGCCGGAGCAGCAGATCGGTTCAGAGACAACAGAAGCTTTATTGGATCTAGAGCACGGGATGTATACGGAGCTAAACTGAGAATCACTCCATTCCAAGCCAGCACCATCGCCAGAGGCACTGCTCCTCCCAAGAGAATGGCTTTGCGTGCCTCTTCAGGCCTCCCTCCGAGTAGTTTACAGATCACCGGAGTGATCACATGGAACCCCAGAGTGAGCACTGTCACCGGCACTGCTGAGAGTACGGAACTGTAAGAGAAGACAGAAGTGGCACCAGAATTGACCAGCATGAATTTTCCTGCGTACACGCCAATGGCAACCAGGGAAGTGATGGCTGCCAGCATCAACCCGCACAAGGCTCGGTTGACTCGATCCAGACTCTTAAAGGAACCAAATCCCACTATCCCACCCACCACTGCTGCACTCGCTGAGCTCCACAAAGCTGCAGGCAAAGGTACCCAACCATGAAGAATGGAACCCAATCCAGCTACACATGCTACCAGGAGAGCGTAGTTGAGGGAAGCATACACCACTGCTGCTGCCCGAGCTCCACCGAAGCCCAGTGTGTGCTCGACCAAGCCCGTGAAACTCACTTCCTTCACGCCTCTCTCTGCCATCACGGCGCAACTGATTTCCGCAACGAGTAGAATAGACGACGTCACATACGCCCACGCTCCGATGATCATTATCGTCGAGGCCTGCAGTCCTGAGGGCAATGTGGCTGCTGGTAAGCCCAAAATGCCCGGCCCAACTGCAGTCCCCATGATCAGCCCCATCGCCGATACCAAAGTCCGAAAATCCTCAGCTTGTGAATCTCCTCCTCTCTCTGCATCCTCGTGTTCTTCAAAGTCGACGTCAACCCTTCTTCTCTCGGAAGATGATACATTTTCGTTACGCCTCCCGACCTTTCTGAAAGCTCTCTCGGGAAGCTCTTCATCCTCCGCCAGCGAGAGAGCTTGAGGTTGAGCTACCGCATCATTTCGAGAAATATCTCCCGATTCATGGGGAACGCTTCTCGCGGCTCCCCATCTCTTCTCTTCTTGATCGTCCTTGAGCAGAGACTTTTCTTCATAATTTCTCGGACCAGGACCGAGACTCGGGTCTGGGCAATTCCTACTCTTGGACGACGCCAGGACTTTCAAGCTTCTCTGCAGCGCCACGAACTCATTTCTCACGTTCGTTCTCGCTCTCGTGCTTAAAAATGTTGACTTGCCGATATCTTTTAAGTTCCCATTGATCGTGATGGCAGCTCTAGGAAGAAGAAAAGTGTAAATTGGAGGTGCAACTCCAACGCCTGCATTCAGCAAATTCGTCATGGCTGCGCTGATCCCCAGGTGTCAGTTTCGCAATATACATTTGACAGTGTCTGCGTTTCCACGACAAAAATGATCATCACCGCAGCCCACGTCCCCAGCAGGGTCCGATCGCCGGTATCCGGTTTCCGGGATTCCGGTGACCGGTCGAATCTCTTCACCAGCGGGGCAGCAATCCTGCGGATGGTTTTCCTGAGCACAAGGACAAGGGTCGCTGCCAGCGACTCGCTGGTCTAATATTGACTGTGGTACAGACCCTACTGTACCACAGATATACGTCTTCATGCAGTTCTCCTACACGGAAATATACATCCTTCTGCCCACCAGATATAACATAAGCGAGGATGATCAAAATTCCAAGGCCAGGTTGACTTTCTCATGAAGGCGGAAATCAGCAGGTATATAACAAGTTTCCGTAACTTTGTGTCCAATCTCTCTTTAAAAACTCATATCAAGTCCCTTCATAAAGTTAGAAAGGGGCCAAGTATAGAAAAAATATTGGAAGACCCCATCATGACTTCAAGGGAAGATGGTAAATGGCAATAGATCAAGACTGGGGACCCAAAGGGTCAAAAGGCTGAAAAACACAATACAAGCTACAGCAAACACAAACAAGGGAAAAGACCCCAAAGTCCAATCCCTAGCTAGTGCCAAGAGCACTAGAACAATAACTAATAATGTCCCTAATATAACAACCTAAATCAAAAGTAAATAACTGTAACAAAGAATAAAAATTCTCTACATCTATATTATGAGTCACTCTAATCTCTGTATATCTAGTACAAGTAAGAAATACATGCTCTTCATACTCAACTTCTCTTCCATCACATAGCCTACAAATACGTTCACTCCTATCAATATTAAGCCAACGTACTTCCTCAATTCCAAGCCTATGAGATCCAGTTCTATGCCTAGCAATAATATGGCGTAAGTACATAGAGATTCCTGCAAGTAGGTAATCCTGTTCACAATAAACAAGCATAGGATTCACATGAAGTTGATAAAACTGCATCTTGGTGGTGCGCTTGCTCCAAATAATATTCATAAAGTCCTCCTTTAGACGTTCACGTAGTGCTATAGGTTGTAGGTTCCAATCGCATTCCGTCACATTCCACCTCAAAGACCAAGTAATAACATCCGCTAACCATCCTTTGGCACGTGTGGCACTCAAAGCCTGAGGAGGAAGGCGAGAAGCATCAAGAGATCTTACCCTTGTGATGTAAGTGATGGTCAAGTATAGAGCTTCAGCCTCTAGAGGTAAACACATTTTTCCGCAAGAAGAATAGCATATGAGGTTTGGTTTCTCACATCCAATTCTTCTTGTAGAAATATCTTCTGCACTCTCTCCACACGCTCCCAACCTGTCTTCTTACAACCAGGACTCCACACTTGGGTTCCATACAATACTACCGGCAACACTAAGCTTCTCAATAAAAATTTCCGAAGACTCCAAGACACAAGATGAGCCCTTCTACACCGATTTAGCAATGAATATAGAGATTTGTAACCAGCTTCTACTCTCTTTTGCACACAAAGTGCCCAACTATAATCATTAGAAAAATCAATGCCTAGATATTTATAACTCTTCACCTCTTCTAATTGTAGATACTGGTAATAGAAAGAAAACTTGGATCTAGTGCTCACAATCATGACTTTGGACTTCTCTATATTTACCTTCATCTGATTCTGGGTACAAAAGCTAGCCAAAGTGTATAGGTGTTTCTGTAAACTAATTGCATCACGTGCTAGTAATATGATATCATCTCCATACAAGAGAGCTTTGATAACAAAGTTTCCAAGCTTGACACCTTCACTATCACATGCCTCCAACCACTATTTGATATCATCTATAAAAACTCCAAATAGAGTAGGAGAGAGAGTACAACCTTGAATCACTCCAGTGGTACTCAAAACCTCTTCAGTTTGAGAAGTGTTGATCTTGGCTCGAACAGATTGGTAAAGCGTGGCCACAACTGCTAGAAGATCTGATGGTACTACAATGACTTGCAGCCTTTCCCATAATAGCTCACGAGGTACGGTGTCAAAAGCTTTCTTAAAATCAATGAAGTCGCTAAACAAAGCTTTGCAGTTGCCCTTCGACTTCTATCATAAAACACACAAAGCCAATATATGGTCAATGGTGTTGTATGTGGGGCAAAAGCCTGCTTGAAACCGTGCTCTCTTTCGATGAGATTCAGTCCATGTGCTCAACTTTGATTCCACCAATTTGCCAAACAACTTGGCAAAAACACTACCCACCATGACAGTGCGATAGTTTGTCACCAAGTCCTTCCTTTCTGACTTGTGAATAGGCACAATCTTCCGTAATGACCAAGCTAAAGGAAAACCATACATAGCAGCATTCTCTAACGCTTTGGTGAGTCTTGGTCCAATAAAATCTCCTCCCCACTTCAAAAGTTCAATAGAGAGACCATTCAAATCCTCCGATTTACCATTTGCTAATTTTCTGACTTGAGTCATCACCTCTGATTCAGAAAACGAAAGAGAGCAGCTTGTATTTGTGCATTCACGGAGACCTAACAGGTCAACTAAAATAATAGTGATTAAATGCAATCGACGGCGACATGACATTCCTCAACCTTTAGATAAAAATTACTAAATATGGTGACAAATTCATCGTTGTCGTAGCTTGGAGAGACAGGTCCGCAACATGCCAGGACGGCAAGTCGGAATGATTCACAAGGATCAGTATCAACATACGGGCTAGTACGTGCATCTATTCATACACAAATATCTTAGACATATCTCATCTAATAATTTCTTGAACTGGACTTCGGAAACCGAAGGAAGGAAGAGCGAGGTTTTACCAACTCGAACTAGTAGCAGATTATGTCCTACACAAAACGGACAAACGTACTTGTGCAATACAAAGCATATGCCGCAAAAATTTCCTAAACCTTCCGAATTCATGTACTCATTTCATTTCATTCATCTGCTAGACCACCATCTGATGATAGCTTTTGACAAATTATTCTGTGCACTTCAATACTGTTGTATCTCGAATGAAAAGTCTAAATGAAGGCTAAATTGTTCAAGCACATAATAATGAACAAAACAAGAAAATCTGCAATTGATGATGTGTTATTGACCAAATTACTTACAAATCCTAATTTTATTTTTCCTAGAATATTATATAAATATTATTCTACTTTTCAAAATAAGATTGGGATTATTGAAATACCTCGTTATATATATATATATATGGAATTTTATAGAATATAAATAACCTAAAAGCTCATATCTGTAGATGAAAATATTAATAAACATCAATCAAAGATATATAGAGATATTTGCTTGATGTGACCACATCAAGAACATATTTGCTTGATGGGATCCATCAAGTTTCGTTTTACCCGATGGGACCCCACGGACGGTGTGTCGTCGATGAGCTCTAGTAAATGTTCTAATATCAGGACTTCATTCTTCAGCTGCCCCTGCCTGCGCCAAAATTCTCTTGATTCGCGCTAGATTTTTGTGTAAATTGACTCTGTGAGCAGATCATTCACGAGTTAGGGTTCGTGAGCGAGGCGTTGTCGTTGGTCCGAGTTTAGTTGGCCTGAGAGCGATCGTAAGGCGTGAGTAGAAGAGTTGTCACCGAGGTTTGAGGAGATTTTATGTTTGCTGATTGCCAAACCTGTAATTGTTGTGCGGGCGTATTGTCGGAAGTAGCACCATGTCTTCCCCAAGCAAGCGGCGTGAGATGGAGTCTTCCACTATACAGTTCAAGTGTCTCCTTAGACGAGGGTCTAGTAATGTAGAAGACTCACGAACTCACCGTGTGTTCATACTAAAACAATCTGACGTGTGCCGTCGTTGGGGTTCCATTAGGTAAAACAAAACTTGATGGATCCTATCAAGCAAATATGTTCTTGATGGGGTCCCATCAAGCAAATATCTCAAGATATATATATATATATATATATATCCAATTTCATCACAGTGTAATGTACGAAGAAAGTTGTAAGAAAATCATGCAACTATTGAGATCCTGTATGAAAAGAGATATATATATATGTCACATTTTGATTCTGTATTGTTTCATATAGTTAAGTATATTTGTTTCACAGTTTCAAATGGGGAAAATATTCCATATATGATATAAAAATTTATAAATAAATCTGTTAAACTTCCAAGAATTACAATGATTCAAATAGTGCACTTGAACTTATATATATTATAGACACGAGAGTAAGTTATGTCCATTGTCATAACTAGAGATTTACTTTTTTGCATTCAAAATCTATATAAATTAAATGATATAAAAAATTTCTTTCAAAAAAAATTATAGAAGTTTTTATTTCATCTATGTAACATTTTGAATGCAAATTTATAAAGATTTATCATTTCAAATGTACTTTTTTTCAAGAAAAAAGATTAAACAAATTCATACAATTTATCCATGGGAAAAAAAATTATTTATACATGAATTTAATTTCTTGAAATCAAAGATAATTTAAAATATTTTCTGATTTTGGTATTAAAATATAATGAATTTTAAGATAAATTTAGTATATTAATTTTTTAATAGTACATAAATAGACTTATTTATGGAAATTTAATATTTTAAATATTTATTTATTTATTTCAAATAAATATTTAAAAATTTCTTTATCAAAATGAGCTAATTTTATAACATTATGAATCTTCATGATGATAGGTGAAATGCTTTACATCTAGTTGTGAATTGTGTAAAGTACAATAATATATAACACATTGACATCAAACTTAATTTTGTTAGATCACTTAGTATGATGAAATGATTAGACTAATATCAAAACTATTGATGTTTTTACGAAAGTGATTTATTTGAAGTGTACTTCAAAATATTGTGCCATATTGCAAGTTTTGCATATAGGTACAAGAAAAGTAATCTACTTGCTTTGTGTATATAATCTAAATACATAAGCTCTATATATGTGGTTTTATTATATTATATTATAGACTTAATCACAGTTCAAGTGAACCTTGTTATGAAAATTTGACACACATACTTATCTTAAAAAGATATCATACATCATTATAGAAGAATATTATACACTATCACAATTAACATCTTGCTGCTCATGGTGTTTTACGATTAGTATTGGAAATCAATGGAGAAATGGTAGAACGCGCGGAACCGCATATTGGATTACTCCATAGAGGCACAGAAAAATGAATTGAGTATAAAACGTATCTTCAAGCTTTACCTTATTTTGATCGTTTAGATTATGTTTCTATGATGGCCCGAGAACATGCTTATTCTTAATATAATATGCGAGTTATGTAAATATGATTACATCCATATGAATTGGAGTACTTTAATCAGATCTTTTAATTTGTGTCATCAAGAGTTAGTTTTTTTATATAAGAATAGACTAACTAGCTGCATTAATCATGATAGCATGAATCAAAGTTAATCAAGATTTGAATTAACTTCCTGACTTATGTTTTGAAATTGTAAATTTAATATTTCCTTTATCCTAAAATAGAAATTGACACAAATCATATTAAATACTCATTAAAAGTAAGTTGCAGCCAAAACTTGATAAAATAGATTCAAATATAAAGATAATAATATTTTTTGTAAATCCTAATTGTATTTTTTATGCAAAATCTGCAAAGTAGCCCTATGTTTTAAAAACATAGGGCTACTTTACATTGAAATAAGATTTTTTTATCAATGCATGAGCTGAATTGATCAGGTTTAAATTTCGACTAATTAAATTTTTTTAATCAATAATTACATCTTTGATCAAATAATATGTCATGTAAATATGATAAGTTTTGTTAAACATCACTCGATTTACTATGAAATGTAATGCTTTCTACTTATCGCAATGAAAATTGCTAACATCTTGTCATAGAGTCATTTTAGTGATAAATCTATTCAACTAAATAGTTTTATTTGTTTCTTTTGATATCGCTACATGTTTGACTTCTGTTGTTTGGAAAAGCTAAGAACTTTTTGCAAAATAAATTTCAAAACAATGCATCAATCATAAAATTTGAACATATATTTTCTTATAGATTATTTTTTGTCTAGATTTTATCAATATTCAACAATCGAGTTAGTCTAACGCAGATTCAACATTGAGCATCAGAATATTAAAAGATATGATGTCAAAATAGTACAAATTACTTTGGATATTATCATATCAAATTTGTCAAACACACATAGAATGTATATGATTTGATCTTATATTAATCTATCCAAATACATATGAACATTTATGCTCAACATCTTCCTGGACATACCTAGGTTTATTCTTTCATGTATTAATATTGGATTTATCTTTTGCCCAAATGAGCATATCATTTACATAAAATCTTAAAATAATGAAATCAAATATTTTTTATTTAACTTATTCATGTGTACACATAGATGAGACACATTCAAATCAAAACTACTTGAATTTTTTTTCAAAACTAATTGCTTGTCTTATGTATATTTCATAATTTAGGTATAAATATTTGTTAATTCATTAATATGATTTATAAGTATTATAATCATTGGAGCAAGTTATATATCAGTCAAATTATAACATATTTTTCTACAAATGAAAAAGTTTTATTATAATTTTTATGTATCCTTTTTGTGAAAATTGTAGCAACAAATTTTATCTTGAAGATTCTACTTTTGTCATTTATTTGATTATATTTCAATTTATATACCTATCAGTCTCATCTACCAAGTGTACTTTAGCTTATATACCTATTTGCCATCAATCAAAGGTTGTAAGTTTCATTAACTTTCACGCCTTGGTATTAATTAGCATTAACGTCTCATTATTCATAGCAATAATTTAATCAAATTTATGAGAAAAATTTGAGCTTCTTTGTTAGAATAAGATTTTATTTACTTCAAATTTAACACATGCTATTATCATCTTTAGTCTTACCATAATGATTTAAAAAAAAAATAGATGAATAAATATTACATGTCCTGCATAAAGTCTACAAATCCGATATTAGCAAGTAACCCTAAACCCTAAACCCATGATATTATAGCAAACAACTATTATGCTCTTCAAAATCTACTTCATCTATATCACATATTATTAATGATATGGATTTATCAAAAAAACACATCCACTAACAATATTCTTACAAACTACATAAAGCCTAACTACATGATATCATCTTCTACACAAGAATTATATCAAAGTAAATATTTTTACTAATTGATGGTCGTGATTATCACCAGTACCATGTTGGAATTTCCAAAAACAATCATCATAAAATTCTTAGCGCCACTATACTTTGTAAGATTATGAGTTGAAGAATAGTTGTTTTTTATTAAATTTTGTGTATACTTCTTCAACTAAGTACCTTTGCTTGCTAATTTTTTTCACCACATGGATTTTAATTTCAAGTTGTTATTTGATGTTATAGTCACAACTCTTGTCAAGTAGAATCATCAACATACTTCATGGATCAAAGTGATCGTCTACAATAGTCAATTAGAATTAAAAGATTGAGTATTTTTGAAGAATTCTCAATGATGCTTCATAAAATCATGCAACCTCCAATTCATTTATTGATAAAAAGATGGAATGACAGTAGAGATCCTAATGTATTTAAGTATTAAAACTGAAAATGCATAAAAAGATGCAAACGTCTGAGACCTTTCAAAAAAGTACAACAAACGAGAGAATTGGAATCTGTATATAGACTTTAAACATGGTAGTGGTGAGGTTTTCAGTCATTATGAAAGCAAACATACAAACCTCAATCCTATTTTCACTCTTAAAACTTATATCAAATGCATTAAACATTTTACACTTTGTTATCATTTGTAATGCAAACTAAAATACTAACACACATGATTTCTTCACAAGGAAAGATCACACCATCCCAACTAACATAAAAAATACATGGTTCATCTTAGTGAAATTACGTCCATGAAAACACATATACTTTATTCAGATTCTCTAAGTTTGTGTCATTGAACACTTCGGTCAATTTTCTTACATAGTGAAAGACTCACTAGCTCAACTGATTATGATTAGACTAGCCAATGTTAACTCATAACAAACTTTAGTTTTAGAATGGTACTAATGTTAGATTTTTTTTAATATTTAGAGTAATTATGTAGATTATGGAGAATATAGTACCCAAGACATGAATTAAGGGAGGATTGCTAGGAGTTAACTTAGATCTTGGTTCACTCTAACACTACTTAGTTCAACCTTGATTAGTTTAACTAATTAGTCTCTTGCTGTAAAGAGAGCTGATCGAAGCTTTCTAAGACACAATTAAGCTTTTTTTAGAATTTTTTTTTTGTGTGTGATAGAGTGGGCATAGTTCACAGTGTAGAATCACGTTACTTCTTTGGTCGTCTGTCTGCTATGTACGTGCTGTGTGTATTGTCTGCATCAGTTGTTTGAATAATTGAAATCAAGATTAGCAATACCTGTATTGTGTGTAAATTTTACAAGTTTTCATAAGGTCATTATATATTAGTTCATTTTTTGAATTTTATTTTCATATAATGTTATTGAAAAAAATTGAATATGTTTGCTACATATGAATGTTATGTAACTAGGATTGATGGTTAATGCTTGGATCTGCATATAATGTAAAGATTATGTTGTTAATACATGTTCACACTTTCAATATTGAGTAAAATTATGAAAAGTTGATGCATTAATAAGATATCATCAAATTGTAAAAATTAAATTTTATACTGTATAAAAAATTAGAATTTTAAATTTAAGATCTTTGAAATTTATTTAATATTCTATTTCAGATTTCTCAAATTTATAAATTCCTAAATCAATTGGATTGCTTATATTTTATTTTTGGAATATTTTGTTTGTACAATCTTGATATATTTTCTTGTTGATGTTTTGTTCAAAGATAAACAAGAAATTTTCGGATAAAATTTCTTTTGAAAAAATATTTATTAAAATTATATTTATGTGAAAAATAACAATAAGGTACTGATGTATTTGCGGATTTAGGTTTCAAATTCAGTCTAATATCATTTTTCTTGATTAACTGATCATATTTGCATATCTTTAGTTCTATCGTCATGTAAACAATGATAACATGTGTAAAAAAAAAAGTTTATAAAAAAAAAACCATATGTTGTATATATCTTGAAAATAGTTTCTCATAAAATAATTTTTTTTGCAATTTTTGTTTGGTTTGAAATTTTGAAAATTTTATTTTTATTTAGAGAATGTAGATATAAAGATATAAACAACTTGTATAATATACTCAAGCTGAATGAGTTTATTAAAATTACATTAAAAAAATCATTTTAAAAAGATGTTTGAACATTTAATATTTTGACACTTTTTAAAACACACTATTAGTCATGCCATTATATAATGTACAACTCTGTATCTTGCATGATTTCTTTCAAACACAACTCGAAAAAATTTCCGCCTTGGAATATTCAAACTTCCGGAGACAAATGTTACACGTAAACGTAGCAGCTTTTCCTCTCTTTGTGCTAAACCAGATGAAATGCGGTTATTTCCAATGCACTAGTTCAGCCGATAAGGTAGCGGTTCCCTCAAGAAACACCATTACTAAAATTCTATTTCGGATGTGGAAACAAACAAATTACATACTCTTCTCCCATTTCCGCGTCATAGATTCACGGAGGGAATTAAAACGAGGGGAAAAATATTATCTGGTGCGGTGGAAGAGGAAGGTCAAGAGCAATATGATCGTGATCATCCAACTCAGCAGCTTGCCCTAACGCCTCCTCTTCCGCGGTAGTCTAGAGGGAGAGTAGAGAAGAAGTAGGGAGAGGCTAAAAGGTTGTACGCTGGGACGGTCGGATTGCTCGGAAGCAAGTGTGCTGTTGCTCGTGTTCTTTCCGGCCATAGAGCAGAGGTTCCGAGCGACGAAGCACAAGGTCTAAGAAGAGGAGTAAGACGCCAGATTCATTCTTCGGCCGGAGTTGAGCAACTTCCTTCTGAACGCCCGTTGTCGGGAGATCTAGCAGAGGTCGGGAACCATGTCGTGGCAATCGTATGTGGACGATCACCTGATGCTCGAAATCGAACCCGGCCGCAGGCTGGTAGGCGCGGCCATCATCGGGCAGGATGGCAACGTCTGGGCGCAGAGCGCTGAATTTCCCGAGGTGATTACTTCCGTCGTTATCGCTTGCCTAATCGCTCGCTAATGCTCGTGTGATGGTTGGCGTGTTATTCCGAAGTTTTATGCATTCCGCTGGACCAAGTCAACGTACTCTTTGGTCGATTTTTGACCCATGGATGTTGCAGATCGAGTCTGTCAATTGTCCGATAAATTTTATCTAATTCTCCAGAATTAGATATAATTGATCGATAGTCATATTTTCTGATCTCGCCTTCCCGCACCGATTGAGAATTGTTCTGTCGCCATACACGTAGCGATTGTACGAATTCCCCGTTTGTGGATAGCACAAACACTGGAATTTGACTCAATTGTATTGTGATCGAGGCTAGGAGAGATGATCGGTTCATGAGGTGGATTTGTACGTTTGTTGGTTGTTTGTGATCAGTGAGGATCGGCCACTAGGGTTCGGATAGCTTTGTTCAAATTTGTCGATCTTCAGCTCCTCTGCATCGTGCTTGTCATTTTCAATTTACGGGCATGTCGATCCCTGAACACTACATATCCCGTGCTCCGTGTTGCTTTCACTCTGCATTCTAGCTTCTAGCTCTTCACGTGTGTCAGATGAAGTGCTTCGCCAGTAGGCTGCTACATCCTTGTACAGACAACGCATATTCGTGATCTAAGTGTGAAGGGTAGATGTCGTTCTTTGGTTCGGACGATTAGTCGACCTCAAAATTGGACCGATGTTTCGCCTTCAGGCTAAGCCCGTCTCGAATTTCGAGAAAGAGATTTATCCTAATTTAGTTGTTAAAGCTCCGGGCCTTGGCTGTTAGTATCTTTTTTGAACTCGTGCGGGCACGGATTTCTTATTTAAATAATTTACCAGGCAGCATCTAAGACACCGATTTGAACTTGTGTTATCGCAGCTGAAGGACAATGAGATCGACAACGTCGTGAAAGGAATGGTGGATAATGGTCAGCTTGCACAGGCTGGTTTGTATTTGGGAGGACTCAAGTACATGGTCATTCAGGGTGAAGCTGGTCAGGTCATTCGAGGAAAGAGGGTACTCAGCACTTTGAATTCCAGCGTTTCATGTGGTGATCTTGTTTTCGAGCATTGGTGTATATTTTCCCTTTACAAGTGTACGTTGAACGTTTTCTTAATTTTACTCTCTCTGTGCTCATTTCAGCAACAAACTGGAGTGACCATCAAGCGGACAAACAGCGCTTTGGTGATTGGTATATACAAGGAACCAACGAAAGGTCCAGAATGCAACGTTATTGTGGAGAGGATGGGTGACTACCTGATTGAACAGGGAATATGAGAAACAGTTGTTTACAACTGCTATTTTTTATCCCAGACTGTAGGGTACTCTGTGATCCATATGAACTCGCCCTCTCTCAGTACGGGAAGGAGGTTTATTCGCGGGTTGGATGTAGAATTTATGAATCGGTTGTTTTAGATTCCGTTTGAAGAGTCCTTTACAGGTCCGACAGATGGGACATGAAAAGAAAGAATACATATATATCTATACACATGATCTGCATGGTTGGGTGTACAGGATCGCTTAGTGGTTCTTGGTCTGGTGAGAAATCTGCATGCTGGTCGAGCAGACGTCGCATCCTTAGGGGAGTTGAAAACGGGTTTGGATGGATGTAGCGGACTTTCTTCGTGCTCTGTTATCTGGCGTGTAGAGCATGGGTTCACGTTTTCGAAGTATTGAGCATGTCCGCTCTGTAATGTTTCTCTCATTATTTTAGTGGATCTGGAAATCCGAAGTTTAACCTCGTAACAGGGACTTGTCACAAATTCGAAGCTACTGTTCTTCACTTTATTTGTCAGATGAATTTCCGTTTATTTCCCTAGGCCCCGTATTCACCAGTGCACTAATTTGAATCGTCTGCAAGTGAAGCATCAGGCTAGGAGCATATTCAAATTCTGGGATATGTATTTTTTTATACTTATGTGACAGTACACCAGTCGAATCTTGAGCTGTTCGTGACTTGCATTCGCTTACGTTGTCATCATGGGAAGCACACTTACAATCTCTCAGACGCTATTGTATCGGTATCTAGTAGCTGCCTGATGTTTTCTCAATTACCTGGTTTGTGTCTAAATGTATTTTCATTTTAGGTATATGCATGAATTTCCCGATGCGGTTTTTAGTGTAACCGGACATGATGATTAAACTGCTTCCTGACACATGTGCTTGCGCGCACACGCTGAAAACTAGAGGTAATCCAGATGTTGGGGATGCACAGGAACAACTCGCAAGCATATGTATTTTGTTTTTTTCCAGTTTTAAGATCAACGACCATAATGACAGATTCCGTTCGATTGTACTATACGCTTAGAATCCCCATGAAACTCATCTACAGCGTTTTCAGGTGACACTGGAAACGGACATAGGCGTTTGATGTGTAAGAATACTTAAATGCATAAGTATTCACATTCAGTATCCACCCAAGGAAAGGTGAGAAAGGTCAACAGAAGTTTAACATACAATACTTCGACACATCACTCGGAATGTTCAGAAAGTGACCAAGAAGCCTACTTCCTGAAAGTTGTCCGAAGACAGGTTATCTTAGCTTAAAACATTCTTGGTCAAGTAAAGACTTTCATGGTACCAAGCAGACCATTAATATAGAGAACCAGCTGGAAAGTACTGAAGTTCATATGGACCCTGATGACATTATTACGACCAAGGATCTGACTAGTTAGATGGCTCTACTTGACTCTCCCGATTGCCCCTTCTACCTACCTTGTCGCCTCTTTATTGGCCAGTTACAAAGTGTATGCCGAACACGCATGTCAAATACAGGTTCACTACATGGGATTATCTTTACCATGGGATTACTAAAAGCAAAAGTAAACTTTGGCATTAAGTATCATTTAAATGTGTACCTTGTGTTTCGTACATTGCTGCTTACTCGAAAGTAGTTCTTATTTCCAGATCGGACATAGTTTCAAAATCAAAATACGTTCAATTTAGAGTTTCGAGCTTTGAATTTCAAGATTTGAGGGCAAAAGATTTTTTCGTGAGCTATTTCTTCGAGGTTGGGAGTGATGTGTAGCTGAAACTTTGTGGCGCACTGAAGCTGGGAAGTGCGCACGAGACTGCAAAATCTCAAGCCGAACGCCATTTAGAGCGAGAAGTTGACGTGTCTTGGAGATCTGAGCTTTTTGAGAGGGAAGGCCGAATCTTGCAAGGGTCGTAACTTCGGGCTCAAGTGTGAACGGAGGCTGAAATTTTGTGGCATTGTGACGTTGGGCAGGGCGCTCAAGCCTGTCAATTTTCATATTGAACGAAGTTCGAGAGTCAAAGTGCGTCCAATTTTGAGTTTCGAGCTTTGAATTTCAAGATTTGAGGGCAAAAGATTCTTTCGGGAGCTGTTTCTTTGAAGTTGGGAGTGATCTAAAGCTGAAGCTAGGCAGGGCGCACGAGCTTGCAAAATCTCAGGCCGAACGCCATTCAAAGCGAGAAGTTGACGTGTCTTGGAGATATGAGCTTTTTAAGAGGGGAGGCCGAATTTTGCAGGGGCCGTAACTTCAGGCTCGTGTGTGATCGGAGGCTGAAATTTCGTGGCATTGTGACGGGCAGGGCGCTCAAGCCTGTCAATTTTAAGATTGAACGGAGTTCAAGAGTCAAAGTGCGTCCAATTTTGAGTTTCAAGCTTTGAGTTTCAAGATTTGAGGGCAAAAGATTCTTTCGGGAGCTGTTTCTTTGAGGTTGGGAGTGATCTGGAGCTAAAGCTAGGTAGGGCACACAAGCTTGCAAAATCTCAAGCCGAATGCCATTCAAAGCGAGAAATTGACGTGTCTTGGAGATCTGAGCTTTTTGAGAGGGGAGGCCAAATTTTGCAAGGACAGTAACTTCGGGCTTGTGTGTGAACAAAGGCTGAAATTTCGTGACATTGTAACATTGGGCAGGGCGCTCAAGCCTGTCAATTTTCAGATTGAACAGAGTTCAAGAGTCAGAGTGCGTCCAATTTTGAGTTTCAAGATTTGAGGGCAAGAGATTCTTCCGAGAGCTGTTTCTTCGAGGTTGGGAGTGATATGGAGCTGAAACTTTGTAGCACGCTGAAACTTGGCAGGGCGCACGAGCCTGCAAAATCTAAGGCCGAACGCGAGGAATGCTGAATCTTGTAGGGGCCATAACTTCGGGCTGGAGTTTGCTTTGTACCTGAAACTTTGTGGAAGCTTGAAGCTGGGCAGGGAACACAAGCGATAGTTTGAGACTAAACGCAATTCGGAGGTTGAAGTTGAAACATATTTTAGTCTCGAGTTTTTGAGAGGCATTCACATGATGGCGTCTTAAAACAATTTGATACTCAATCTTCTGCAAAAGGTTATGGAAGTATTGAAAGTACTTCGTGCAGAATTCAAGGAAAGAGTTCAACTTTAATTGTAGCTCAATATGAAATTCGAGAGTTGAAGCTCTCCTAGAAAAGTTTTGAAAAGATCAAGGTTGATATTTCAGAAAACGTAGAGGATATTCAGGAGAAAGTTGGTTCTCAAGCTTCTACTGTTGTTACTCCTAGATTGCATGAAGTGGTTGAAAGTCTTGAGATGAAGATTGAATCTTATGTTGAAGCCACTAAGTCTGCTCATATCTCTTTCTATCAAAAGCAAGAGATTGAAAAGACTAATCAATTTTTTCGTAGAAAGAATGTGAGAATTTCTGATCTACCTGAATCTGAGAAGAAAGAGGTGAAGAGTGTTGTCACCAAATTTTTGGTTGAAACACTTGATGTTCCTAATCCGGATGTGGCTCAAGCTTTTAGCATTGGAACCATAGGAATCCAACCTTGAGCCATCATAGTTAAGTTTAATGATCAAACTCAATGTGATACAGCTTTAGCCAACAAAGTTGTATTAAAAGGACGTAGGATTTGGTTAGATCCCAAAACATAGCAATCCAAGAGCTTGAGGGTGTTAATGTAAAATATTAGAGTTCTTTCTACAACAAAGTATGTGAGTGCTAATCCGATTTGGAAGATGGCGGACATCATCAACATTGTGGAGACGTGGAAACATGAGAGCAACACTATTGAAGAGATACTAGGATTTACTTTGATGGGATCCACTTGAAACCATAGAAGTCAACGTGCAGGAAGAGGCTATGGCGGTATTGATTCTTTCATCAATCTCAATTTCTACCTCTTATACATCTAGAAGGTCAGGATATTGGAGGTCAATATCATTGGCTTTGTCTTGGATTGGTTGGAAAATCTTATAGTTATTTGGCTATTTGTTACTTTGCACCATTGTCCATGCATATCTACTCGACACGCGCTTGCAATCGGAGTCAACCATTCCATTGACTTATAGGAGATGTTCTCAATTACCAAAGCAAAGGTGAAGTTTTTCTGGTTGGAGTATTCAATGCTCGAATAGTTTGTGCATAAGTTACCCAAGTTGGTGATATCTTGACTTTTACCTCCTTTGAAGAACTTGAAGATAGTATGTGGTCTAGAAACTCTTCTAATACTTGTACAAATCCTTTGATCGAACACATTCTAACCTTTGGAGCCACATGTGGAATGGAATGGTAAATAGATCAAGCCTGTGGAACCCTAAGGGTCAAAAGGCTAAATAACACAATACAAAAAATCCAACTCCAAACAAGGAGAGAACCAAAAGAACCCCCTAGCTAGTGTTCAAAGCACTAGAACGGTAACTAATAACATCCCTAATGTAACAACCTAAATCATAAGGCTCAAGCTGAAGCAAAGAATAAAAATTCTCAACAACAACTTTATAAGCCACTCTAATCTCTACATATCTAGTACAAGTAAGAAATACATGCTCTTCATCCTCAACTTTTCTTCCATCACATAGACTACAATACGTTCATTCCTATCAATGTTCAACCAACGCCATTCTTCAATCTCAAGACTATGAGATCCTGTTCTATGTCTAGCAATAATATGACGTAAAAAAGTAGATATCTTTGCAAGTAAGTATTTCTGCTCACAATAAACAAGCATAGAATTCACATGAAGTTGATAAAACTGCATCTTGGTGCCTCGTCTGCTCCACATAATGCTAAGAAATTTCTCCTTAATACGCTCGCGTAGGGAAATAGGTTGCAAATCCTAATCGAGTTCCGTCACATTCCACCTCAAAGACCAAGTCACCACATCTGCAAACCAATCCTTGGGACGTGTGGCACGCAAAGCTTCAAGAGGAAGTCGAGAAGCATCAAGAGATCTCACTCTTTTGACGTAAGTGATAGTCAAAAAGAGAGCTTCAGCCTCAAGAGGTAGACAACCTGTTTCCGCAAGAAGAATTGCATAAGAAGTTTGGGTCCTCACATCCAATTCTTCTTGTAAGAAGATCTTTTGCACCCTCTCTAAACGCTGCCAACCTGTTTTCTTACAACCAGGACCCCACACTTGTGTTCCATATAAGATAACGGGAAACACTAAGCTCCTGAATAAGAATTTCCTAAGACTCCAAGATACTAGATGAGCTCCTCTACATCTATTTAGCAATGAATATAGAGCTTTGAAACCAGCTTCTACCCTCTTTTGCACACAAAGTGCCCAACTATAATCAGATGAGAAATCAATGCTCAAATATTTGTAACTTTTAACTTGTTCCAACTCTAATCCTTTGTAACAGAAAGAAAACTTGGATCTAGTGCCCACAAGAATGACTTTGGACTTCTCCAATTGACTTCCATCTGCTTTTGAGTACAAAAGCTAGCCAAAGTGTCAAGGTGTTTTTGTAAACTAATGGCATCACGTGCTAGTAATATGACATCATCTGCATACAAAAGAGCTTTGATGACAAAGCCTCCAAGTTTAACACCTTCGCTATCACAATCCTCCAACCACCTTTCTATATCATCTATGAAAACTCCAAAGAGAGTAGGAGAGAGAGGAGAACCTTGAATGACTTCAATGGTGATGATAATCTCTTCGGTTTGAGAAGTGTTGATCTTGGGCCGAACTGAGTGGTATAGTGTAG